TCTCTGTTCCTCTCTCTCTCTCTGTTCCTCTCTCCCTCTGTTCCCCACTGTCTCTCTCTGTTCGTCAACAGGGCATAACATGAATCCTACTGCAAGATAAAATATCTGAAGAAGGTCCTGAGGTGCACGAGAAGATTATCTTGAATGTGATATTGATTTAAATAACAGATTTTCTTTTTAGTTGTGTTTTAGTGAAAACATGAAACAAACTTGTGGTGGTAGCTTTGGTCCTTTACCAACGTGTTTAAGGTTTTGTTCAGACCATTTTATACTATTTAACATCTTTCTGACTTTGATGGAGAAGCAACATTAAAATGGTTAATAAATGCATTCCAGTAATAAACAACAATAAAACTCACAGCGTCTTTGGTACCACTCAGTTAACCGGGAGTGGATTGCAGCAGCTGCAGGAACCTCTGGATTGGCTATTGGCTAGATTAGCACTTTGGGTCAAATGCTGCTGCTTCAAGCCCTCGGCTGAGTATTGCAGGACAAAACTGTAACATTTTACACACACACACACACACACACACACACACACACACACACACACACACACACAGTAGTAAGTGGGAGTAGTTCCTGGTGGGTTGAGCAGGAGGCTCAGAGACGCCACTACAGTCTCCCATGGAGCTGGGCGTGGGGGAGAAAGTGGTGTGTGTGTGTGTATGTGTGTGTGTGTGTGTGTGTGGGTGGGTGGGTGGGTGTGTAGGGGGCCGTTAGATTGTGGCGGGTGGAGGGGAGGGGGTGTCCTTGGCAGACAGACAAACAGTTTGATTGGTACGAGCATCGCTCTGTCCATTGTTTGTTCATTCTGTTTCTTCATTAGTTCAAATGTTTCACCCAGCTCAGGACAGAACACAGCACGTGTTTAAATAAATGTGCTCATCCTTTTTCGGCTTTGTCAAACTTTCAATTTGTGAAGACAAAGGTGGAGAAAATGTTCCGTGTTTTACAAACCTGACGTTTTAAACTAAATTTTGGCCACATTTCATTCATTTTTACAAGAAAACGTATTATAATTCTGTTCTCTTTAAAATTCCATTCTTTTTATTAAAATATCAAAGTCTATTCTTTTTTCTCAAAATTTCAGCTGAATGCCTTTTCAAAATGTTATAAATTAAACAGCAGTTGCCTCACAGCACTTTGTATTATAAGCTAAAAACCTTTCAATAAAACAGAGAAGCTAAATAAATGATGTAATTAATGTCTTTATTGAGTGAGCACTTTAACACCCTGAAGTTCACACTGATTTGAAATGTTGCTGCATCCCTAAGACATCAGATTGCTGGGTTACAAAACCTCATGTTAGACCCCCTTCCATAGTGACCCATCCTAGACCTGAGCCCCTTCCTCCTCCTCCTCCTCCTCCTCCTCCTCCTCCTCCTCTTCAGTGAGTTGTTAAGTTCAGCCACTAATCGTTCTGGTTGGGACTGTGGTTGGCTGCCTTGCCGCTGTCCTGCCCTCAAAGACAAACACACACACACACACACACACACACACACACACACACACTAAATGTGTGTAATCATGTTTTGTCTCCTTTGTTGGCAAACTTAATTATAAATGTGTCATCTCATTTATGGTATTTGTGTTTCACTACTTCTGTGTGTGTGTTTGACAAAGAAGCTTCTCAGTTCTCAGTGAAGAACAATGGAACCTCTCTGATTACATCTCCCTGTACAGACAGACAGGGTGTGTGCGTGTGTGCGTTCAGTGGGAGGAAAGGGTGGCAGTTGTAGAGATTGAAGGGAGGGTGGGGGGGAAAGTTTGGACCTCCCCTCTCCGTGTTGTCTCTCTCAAACAGCCTGGTGGCTCGTCATTGGTTAAATCCTCAAGCCTGTATTTATGCGATTGGTCAGGGCGGGGTATATATACACAGCATGGGTCGGTCAGATCTGGCCACAGGTTTCCAAACTTTCAAAGTGAGCAGACAGCGAGGGAGACGGTGTGTCGGAGGGCCCGAGTGACAGAGTGAAATCAAACTGTGGACAAACCGCAGAAGCAAACAGAAAACCTAGAGTGGACAAAGAAAACAGCAGAGTCACTGCGGATCGTTTTCAGGGGAAATCCTGCACCACAACGGGTTTGTTTTCTATTCTTGTCTCCCCCTCCTCTCACATCTCGATGCTTTGCTTTGGTATTTGTGCTCTGAGACCAAATTCCTCTCCTGATGCTTCTCTCCTCTGTCGGCTGAAGTATTTTCAGTTTCAGTTTTTGTCCAGAACTTTGCAGACCAACAAACTGAGACAGACATTTGCAGAATTTGACCTGGACTAAACCTTTTCTGGGATGAATTTAACCAAGCCTAGCCTTTCTAGAGTCAGCCAGGTGTCTCTTGGGGGCCCCTGGACTTCAAGGACCCCGAGTCCTGCTTCTGAAATGGGTTTTGAACAGAAGCTCTCTGAGGATTGCAGTTCTCCAGACAGAACTGGGAATATGAGGAGAGGGGAACCAAGGATGTGTTTGACGCACGGTTCAGGGGGACAGAGTCCTGATCTGAACCGGGCTGGAGGCATGTCAGTGGGTGATGGGAAAGCTGCAGGGGCTGAGCAGAGGATTCGTAGGCCAATGAATGCCTTCATGGTCTGGGCTAAAGATGAGAGGAAGCGGCTGGCCCTGCAGAACCCGGACCTACACAACGCTGTGCTCAGCAAGATGCTCGGTAAGACAAACAAAGAGACCAACTCAGTGGAGAGCCAAAGATCTGATCTTTGTAGTCATCAATTTCAGTAAAAGCACCAAAGTGAGGAGTCGTCGTATTGGAAATTTAAATATCTGACCACTTTCATTTTAGCAGTTTTCAGTGTGACACACCAGAAAGATCATCAAACACAGACCATAAATAGCCTCATTTCTGTTCAGGACAAATTAAAAGTCTGATTCCTCAGCTCTACATTACCAAGCCAATATGTATGTTGCTGCATCTGGCTCATTGCAGACATGGCTCATTGCACATGCCATGTTTGCCTCTAAACTCTTTACTGTGAGTTTACTTCAAATGCTGTTAAAATAACCTCCCAAGTAGCTCTTCACATCCATCAGTGTGTAAGACACATCTCCAAAAACAGGACGAACTGAGAGTCAAAGCACTTCATGCATGTCACAGGACATTAAGGTCCTTCTTTGAATGCCTACACGTAGCTGTAGATGGAGCTGCTCAAGGCTGTCAGTGCTGTAGAGTATTTTGACATGTTATAGGCCGAGCAGTAAATAATAAAATGATCTATCAGACTGATTGTAATCTGTTTGACAGTGAGTTGCAAAATGAATTTGAACAGCAGTGCTGTTCTTATATGCCCCCTTTCTCTCATCTAAGAAGACCAAAATATGGTTGAAATTTTTTAAAATATTTAACTCCTCTTCTTGCAGGTCAGTCGTGGAAGGCCCTGAGCGCTGTAGAGAAGCGACCATTCGTAGAGGAAGCAGAGCGTCTTCGTGTCCAACACCTCCAGGATCACCCAAACTACAAGTACCGACCTCGCCGCAAAAAAACCACCAAGAAGCTTAAACGTGTAGAACCCGGGCTTCTGCTGCACAGCTTAGCCCAGGGTGGGGCACCAGGCTTGGGTTTAGGACCTGGTGTCAGTCCTTTGGGTGCAGAAAATGTTACTGGAGGTTCTGCTTACGGGCATCCAGGTGTCCAGCCTCCACATCATCACTCTCATCACCTGCTTCCATCTCTGGGCCATTTCAGGGACCTCCAGGCCTCAGGACACTCAGAGCTAGAAAGCTATGGCTTGCCCACTCCAGAAATGTCCCCACTGGACATTCTGGAAGATGGAGCTGGGGAATCTGTGTTTTTCCCCCAACATATGCAGGAGGAGGGAGGGATGGGAGTTTGGAGTGGGTACCAACACCACCTTCACCATCATAATCAGCATTACACCCACCACTACAACAACCACAGCCACCACAGCTCCATACACGGCCAGGGTTCAGGAATGACTTTAAGCACCAGAATGACTTCTGCTGAATCAAATATGATGTCGAGCATGAGCTCTGTCACTTCACTCAGCTCCAAGCTAAATCTCGCGCATGTTTCTGGTCACCAGGTCACTTTAAGAAGTCCCGTAAAGTGCCCGCCACCACTGCCGGATCCTTCCTCCCCAGTTTCATATCACCAGCCCTGCAACAGCCTCTCTGAGCCAATAAAATGCCACCAGCCCCCACTGAGCTCTGCTCCTGTTGGTTATTTCAGTCAGCTATATGGAAACGGCACCCCTAAAGCTCCTCATTTCACTTCTTCTCATCTGGGGCAGCTTTCACCTCCTCCTGAAACGACTTCTTCCTGCTCAACCTCATCCATTCCCCCTCCATCCACTTTCCCTCCCTCTGTGAATTTGGATAATTCAAATCTGGATTCCTCTGGCCAGCTGGGGGCTTCGTCTGCTGAATTTTGGGCTGAAGTGGACAGGCATGAATTTGACCAGTATGTAAATGTTCGGAGAAATCGAGATGAGGCTTATGGATTGGGCGGGGAATGTGGTGGTGTGTCCAAGGTTGTGGGTGGCCGTAGTAGCAGTATTGCTGGAAGTAGCAATAATAGTATTGTTAGTAGTGCAGTTAATAGGGATGTTGGTGGTGTGATGGGTGGCGTTGGTGGGTGTGATGATGGAAGCAGCCCTCTTATATCTGCTCTGTCTGATGCAAGCAGCGCTGTCTATTACAGCACCTGTATCACTGGATAAATACTCTGAAATGTATGATGAGACAACATACAAAGGAAGTATACTGGAAAAACTATTTGGGTCATACTTTATTCAAAGCATTTCAAAGAGCCCTTCACTAGCTTTCAAATCTTTAGGTTTCAGGAACCCTTATGTGTGTTGACATGCCTTTACATGTTCAATGTTCAGTTATTTTAGTTCTTGGTATGTTGTAGAAAAGAAAGCATTTGAAATCAGGAAAATAATCTCAGTTGGGCTTCACAACAATTTCTGTCATATTTTTTGTTGATTGGGAACATGAAAAATTAGCTCAGTGAAACACTTCCAAGATTCATTTACAGTATTTTTCTTAGTGTTGTTGGGAAAGTTAGGGGCAAACACCAACATGTCAGATATCTGTCTAACCTATCAGAATGTTTCACTTTTCAGGCCGTTGTATGTTCCCTGTCGCGAAACATCCCTGTCAGACTCTACTGACATACATGGGTGTGTGCTGATTCCAAGAACACTCTTTCTAACTAGCTTCTCTGATATATCTTTAACTGGGGTTTGTTTAAAACTTTAGCACTGTCTATTTCTGATCACAGGTCATGATTGTATTCACGGCCTTTGCAAGTAATCAGCTCTATTCATACAAAGCAACCTCACACAAACAGATGTTGGAGATCAGTCGCACAGTCATGAACTTTGGGAACATTGGTTTGATGTAGATGTTTACTGTATACTTTTGAAGATGCTATGCTTCTTGACAGGATGTGAAGGAGAAAGTGAAACTATGAAATGTTCTCTATGCACTGGGTTTGATGTCTTGTTTCATATATAGAAGTAAAAATACTCATAATTTGAAATATGTTTTTGTGACTGTTTGTCTTGTTTTTTTCTGTCTTCTTTACTGAATCTTATTTTTCTTAAAGGAAAAAAAGAAATTATATTTTCTTGCTGAGAGTTTGATGAGTTGATTGATATAATTCTAATATTCATGTGTTCAGTGCTGGAGTTAATTAGCCCAGCTAGGCATAAGAACAAGAAAGCGTTGTGTTCGTCAGAAAGTGTGATAAATATATTTATTCTGTTACATGCGTCTGATCTGGGGTTGTTAGTTTTTTTTAATTTAAACTATGAAAAGAACTATAAAATGTTAATGTAATGTATCATAGGGCATCTGCTTGTCATATATTTTCCCCTGTCCCTGCCTGACACCCTCTGTTCCTCTTCCTATCATGTTCTTACCTAGCAGGGCTTGCTCTGTTTTATTTGTGTGTTTTTTCTGTTTTGAAGCAAAGAGAAATCTTTGTTATGTAATATTTCATGTATAAATCGAATAATTGCTCATGTAAAGGTGCCGGCAGATCTTTTGGTGAGTTCAGTTTTTGCCCACTCAGAGCCGTTGCAAACCTGACACAAAGAGATGATGCATGTGTGAACTGTGTAACCTTCATTTCAAAAGTGTTGGAGAAGTGCTTTTCCACTGAACTTTGTTTGCCATTCATCTATTATGAACTTATAAAGTGATGATGTCCTATAGATGTTACGTTTTGCTAAATGAGTAACTTATCCTGCCAACATTTAAATGAACATAAATTAGTGGTTTTGTTCCTACTGAGAAAATGAAAAATCATCACCCACTCTGTATGTTTACATAGCATCGTTTTGTATACAGTGGAAACAAAAACCAGAAGTCTCTTCTCAAAGGGCTCACATCTGTTCTGCATCAGTCCTAAAGACAATGCCATTTTTTCTTTTCTCTACATGAAACTGAAGGACAGCGTCAAGGATATGTACAGTGAAAACAGTTATATTCACCACACTGATCCCTATGGCCTTTTCCAAATATTTTCTATTAGAGGATAAGCCCCAAGGAAGCTAAATATTAAAAAATAAAATAATAAAAGCCGTGTACATCTGCATTTGACATTCTTTCGTGTTGACACCAAACAGAGCTGTGTTTCCATTTTAATTTACTGTGACACACAAAGACATCAGAGAGACGGGCGTTTTTTGGAGCCGTGCAGTAACTCTGGGGCTTTTGGTAATAATTATCTCAAGGAAAAAAAGAAACACCCAAGATTTTTGGGATTAATACAAAACACATTTTCTCAGCAGACACATAACAAAAAATTAAAACCAGGATTTTCCCACCACTGTCACTGTGCCTGACAGCGAGCGTAGAAAAGGGCTTTGTTTGTGTTTATGTATTTGAAAAATGTGCAATGGGTGTAAACAGATCTGTTAAGTCTTTTAATATAATGTCACAAAATAAACACTTCCAAGTTTGCACTCTGGACATTTACAGGTTTTTCTCTGTGGCTAAAGCTGGCTGGATTAATTCTTTGGAAACTTAGTATTTTGAATTTTTGGTCAACTTTTTGCTCCTGCATATCAAAAAAGACAAAAAAACAGCACAATTGGTGCGTCCTCTGTGTTTTCAGTGCATTTACATAGTTTGAGACAAAGAGTCACGTCTGTGTTTTCCTGTGTGATCAGCTCTGATTCTGTCCTCTCTAGGTTTCGTTAAGACATTAGAAAATATTGGCTTGGCACAACAGTTTCCCCTTGAACAAAACCACAAACAAAACTTTCAGAACAAGGAAAAGCTGTTTTCTTTGTTTCAGACTTCTTTTACTCCCCCCCAGCACCTCACTCACTGTCATCTTCTCTCATTTCACTTCTCTCTGTCTCAGCTTTTATTCTTTGCAATCTTTTGTCACCTTTCCCCTTCTTTTTTGTTTCTCACCATTTTTATTCATTCTGTGGCGTCTTTTTGCTCCTTCATGCCATCTCTTGCTGTTTAGTACTCCTTGCTTTCGTCTTATGAGCGCATTTGTTACTATTTTCCATCTAGTGTTGCTTTTATCTATCTTTCTAAACAGTCCCCGTATTTTATCGCTTCTTTTCCTTTTATCCTTACATGTGCATGTCCTCAATCATTCCTTAAATTATTTTTACTTTTAGATGTATTTAATATTTAGGTCATACAGTCGAGTAAATGTGCTAAAACTTTGTTCTGATCTATTCTTCCTTTTCCCCCTTTTTTCCCCATCCTTCCTTTTTTGTCGTTTTTCTTCCTTCTCACAATTCTTTCACATATTCTTTATATTTTGTAAAAAAATCATAATATCTTCTTTTATATTTTTTATTAAGTGTTTAATTGGCTGCTCTCCTTTCTTTCTCGCCCTTCAGGCATCCCTGTATGACCCACTATTTGCCCTGTTCTTCTTTCTCCTCACTCTGTTATTAACATTTCCATGAGAGTCATTTATCCTCTGGTTGGAGAGCAGAGAGCTATAACGTAACTGGGCTGTAAAAACCAAAGTTGCATGTGGTAAGTGTGTGTATGTTTTCCTACCCCAGGTCAAGTATTCAGTAAATGTGTGTCAGTGGTGCTCGCTGAGGTAACTGACAGGAATGTTAGCAGCAAGAAGGAAACACTACGGAAGTTTGAGATGTTCGGAAAGGGAGTATGAAGAGAGAGAGAGAGGAAGAGTTGTATATTTTTGTGACAACACCTCACCCGGCAGCGCGATAGGCTGAATGGAAAAGATAACACGAGGCTGAATTCCCTTTTAGACTGCTGGAAAGCGCCACATAGGAGGTGTGTATGTGGTGTGAGTGTGTGTCTGGCTGTAGTTACATGCTTACATATTACAGATTTGGTGTGCTGAACCAGCACAGAGCGCCAAGATAACTATAAACATGTTTCACAATTTATAAAATATAAATTAAATAAAGAGAAAGTAAATACATGTTTTAAAAGAAATGGCATATTTGGAGAATACTGTGAAAAAGTCTTTGGCAGTAAAAATATTAAAAATGAATGAGAAGGAGGGAGGTGCTGAGGCAAAAAGTGGAAACACAGACACGGGAAAAATCAAAGAATCCGAAAACTGGGAGTAAAAGTAAACGAAAGAAGGAATCTGTGGATTACACACTTCAGAGAGACAAGGCAGAAGAAGAGGGAGAGGGATTTTCCCATCTGTTTCTGTGGTGTTTTATTGGCCACATGTGGTTATACTGTCAGATCAGTCACCACAACTACACACACTGCATGTGTGTGTGTGATCTGAAATGACAGTGTGTGTTTGTGAGTTTCTTTGTTCAAACTATGTTGTTGTGAAGAAGTTTGTGCTGTGTTAAATAGGAATTAATAACATAAAATCTGGAGACTCAGTCGTGTGTGTCTGTACTTTATGTGCACATGTGTGTTTTTGATCTCTTTAAACTTTTGAATTCATCAAACTTTGGATTTCTCAAAGAGTTATCAAAGAGTTTGTATTTGATGTGTGGAGCTGAAAGCAGCACGCCCCCGTAACAGTAACATGATGTCTGCAGTGCTGAGCTTTGGGGATCCATTCATCTGTGACAGTCCCAACCGCCGTATTACAGTTTCACCATCATGACTAAAGTTCTTACTCAGAATTAGGACGATGGCCACCACTGTTATAGGAATGTATTCACTGCACTGAACTATCATCATCTCAATGTAGCCATCAGATTCTTATCATACAGTATTTTGTACTTTTCTTTTTGAGTTAGAAACAAATACATTAAAAAATTAGTTGCACTTTAGTTTTTTCACCATAATTTCATTTTAATTTAACTATAATGGATGGTAAAATTCAAACTTGCTTTTGTTCACTCCATAGTAATAATTTGAGATTCCCATCCTTCCGTCTGTTTTCCGCTGCTTTCCCAGGCCAGGCCTCTTTTCTAGCGCTCGCTGGGCTCATGTAATCTCTTCAGCATGTCCTGGTGTCATGGTCCGCGGATCGGTGTCTGAGGAGCGGTGGGGATGCCCACGCCTAAGGGTGTGGCTGTGGCCTTCACACCTGCACCCCATTCCAGGCGATCAGCACGGCCAGCTGCTCCATGCCAATCCGTTAGTCACCATTCAGTGGTAACTTGGCCCCTCGCGAAGGTTGATGTGGAATTTCTGGTTTCTATGAACTGTGTTAATCCTGTTACTGTGTGCTCAGGTTATTGTCCAGGGTGTTCAAGTCTTCACCTGCCTGCCCTCCCGCCCGCTTGGAGTTCAGATGAACCACCTGTCATCATCCTCTCCGTCTCCGTGGAATCCTCTCCCGCGGACACTCTCCCCTCCCTCCTGCTAGGATATGCCCGAAACACCTGAGCTATTGGGCATCCAGGAGACATCAACTAGCTCCTTTCAGTTTGGAGCAGCAGTGGCTCTACTCTGAGCCTCTCACCCTATCGGGGTGTCCAAATTCATGGGCTGCATCCTCCTGAGGACGCATTTGTAGACCGATTACGTCACAACGACGCGACTAAGGCTGTCCAAATTTGTAGACTCCTCCTAATGCAGCCGACAAATGCGTCCTCCTTTTCCCCTAATTTGAAGGATGGGTTGGATGTATCCTTTGTGGTCCAACCTATCCCAGAATTCATAGCGTGGCCCAGCCAACTCCAGTTTCCAACAATGGTGGCCGCTACTCAGTTTGAATATTACTCTTATTAATCTTTCTGGGTCACAAAATAAACTTCTAAATAAATATCTGCTCGGTTTATCAAGACATCAGATGTTTGCAAAAGTGCTCCGATGTTTTCAGAGAAGTCTGTTACCCACCAGCTCGATAGCTTACTGGGAGCTCGAGGGTCACTCGAGCCGGCGAGAGCAGCGGACTCCCGGCTTCATCGTTTTCAAACCTCCCCGTGGTCTTTCGCTACTAAACATGATATATATGTCACTTAGATAACTTAAAAATGTTACTGTTTGGCTTTTTTCAGTGTTTTATTTGTTCCTGAGTAAATCGGTTTGGCTGAGATTAAAGTTATTAGATTAGATTAAATCAAACATTATTAATCCATCGGGTGGGTTCCTCCGGGGTTTTCACGCAGCTGAATAAATGTCAAACAGAAAACTGATTAAACAGAAGT